ACTGGGCTTATTTAGTCTGCGGAAGAGAAGGAGAGGGAGCAGGATTTAACAGCAGCCTTCAACTACCTGAAGGGAGGTTCCAAAGAGGATGGAGCTAGGCTGTTCACAGTGGTGGCAGATGACAGAACAAGGAGCAATGGTCTCAAGTTGCAGTGGGGGAGGTCTAGGCTGGATATTAGGAAAAACTATTTCACTAGGAGGGTGGTGAAACACTGGAATAGGTTACCTAGGGAGGTGGTGGAATCTCCATCCTTAGGGGTTTTTAAGGCCCGGCTTGACCAGGCCCTCACTGGGATGATTTAGTTAGGGTTGGTCCTGCTTTGAGCAGGGGGGTTGGACTAGATGATCTCCTGAGGTCCCTTCCAACCCTAGTCTTTTATGATTCTATAACAGGGAGAGATGCTGCCCCCCACCTCTAGCAATACCCTGCTGCAGGTATTCCCTCCAGCTCTCCCAACTGTACTCTACCATTAAAATCTGTACCAGATGACTGGAGAATAGCTAATATGACCCCAATTTTTTAAAAACGCTCCAGAGGTGATCCTGGCAATTACAGGCTAATAAGTCTAAACTTCAGCACTAGGCAAACTGATTGAAACTATAGTAAAGAACAAAATTATCAGTCACAGAGCTGAACATGATTTGTTGGGGCATAGTCAACATGGTTTTTGTAAAAGGTAATCATGCCTCACCCAACTGCTAGAATTCCTTGACGTGGACAAGGGTGATCCAGTGGATATAGTGTACTTTAGATTTTCAGAAAGCCTTTGACAAAGTCCCTCACCAAAGGCTCTTAAGCAAAGTAAGGTATCATGGGATAAAAGAGAAGATCATGGATCAGTAACTGGATAAAAGACAGGAAACAAAGGGTAGGAATAAATGGTCAGTTTTCAGAATGGAGAGGGGTAAATAGTGGTTTCCAACAAGGGTCTGGTACTGGGACCAGTGCTGTTGAACATATTCATAAATAATCTGGAAAAAGGGTTTAACAGTGAGGTGACAAAATTTGCAGATGATACTAAACTACTCAAGATAATTAAATCCAAAGCAGACTGCGAAGAGCTACAAAAGAATCTTACAAAACTGGGTGACTGGGCAACAGAATGGCAGATGAAAGTCAATGTTGATAAATGCAAAGTAATGCACATTGAAAACACAATCCCAGCTACATATATAAAATGATAGGGTCTAAATTGCCTGTTACCACTCAAGAAATATCTTGGAGTCACTGTGGATAGCTCTCTGAAAACAGCCACTCAATGTCCAGCAGCAGTGAAAAAAGGTAACAGTGTTGGGAATCATTAAAAAAGGAATAGATAATAAGACAGAAAATATCATATTCCCTCTATATAAATCCATGGTATGCCAACATCTTGAATACTGCGTGAAGATGTGGTTGCCCCATCTCAAAAAAGATATATTGGAAAAGGTTCAGAAAAGGACAACAAAAATTATTAAGGGGTATGGAACAGCTTCCATATGAGAAGAGATTAGTAAGATTGGGACTTTTCAGCTTGGAAAAGAGACGACTAAGGGGGGGATAAGATAGAGGTCTATAAAATCATGACGGGTGTGGAGAATGTGTTATTTACTCCTTCTCATAACTTAAGAACTAGGGGTCACCAAATGAAATTAATTGGGTGCAGGTTTTATAAAAACAAAAGGAAATATTTCTTCACACAATGCACAGTCAACCTGTGGAACTCTTTGCCAGAGGATATTGTGAAAGCCAACACCATAACAGGGTTCAAAAAAGAACTAGATAAATTCATGGAGGATAGGTCCATCAATGGCTATTAGCCAGGATGGGCAGGAACTGGGAATGGGCAACCCTGTTTGCCAGAAGCTGGGAATGGGCAACAGGGGATAGATCACTTGATGATTACCTGTTCTATTCATTCTGGCATTGGCCACTATTGGAAGATAGGATACTGGGCTAGTTACTGTTCTCCCCTCCTCAGCTCCCCCTTTTTCAGCAATATCCTCTTTTTTGGAAACCTAAAATATGCTAACCCTAGCTTCAACAGTCTGTGTCTTCCTTCTTGTTCCTCTTGTTTGATTATGATTGCTATCAAAGACACTTCACTGGTTTGCATTAAAGGTTGGTTCTGAATCCACTGCACGACTGCTAACATCAGCAAACAGTCTGCAACTCAAGTCTGTTGACATGCCATTTTTTAAACTACTCGCGCACATAAACTTTTAACCAACAGACTGATCGGTGTTGTGCTGTAACCTTTCAGACCAGTATCTGTTGCAACAGATACACACTGCGAGGCAGCCAAAGGAACCCTTGTGGATAGATTATCTGAGTCCTCCCACTATTGTAGCTACTCCCTGATTCTCAGGGAAATGTGGGGTGACAGAGGGTAGAACCACTGATCCCACCTGAGTCAAGAAAACCTTTCCCTTCCACTGTGTTGATGAGGTCTCTCAAGTGGAATAAACTCTGAGAAAGGGTCAGAGTTCTTTTCCATGATTATCCTGAATCCTAGATGGAAAAGGCAACAAATTATTTTGGATTCTGCATCTTGAGGAGAAGACCCCTTCATCTGCCAGTCATCCAAATAAGCAGAAGCACCTCTACTAAAAGACGTTTCCATAAGTAATTTATGCTATCATGCTAAACATGAGTTTCTAAGATCTACAAGTTTTTCTTCCTTTTTTCCAAAACGTTTCAAAAAGAGTTTAAGAGTATTTTTGGTAATTAAATACATTAGTTTGTAATACTCTTTTGGAAAACTGAAGCATTTATTTTTCTTTGTACTTTTCTTTTTCCCCCACAATCAGAGCTGCATACTAGCTTTCAGTATATTGAAGCTCTAAAGGAGTAATGGGCTTCTGGCTCTTACTATTTGAAAAATAAAAGTCATGAATTGAAAAATGTTATCACGTATGCAAAAATAAACATTCCTAGATTTCCAACCTGAATTCCCCTCATAATTAGAATCATAGAATCATCACAGAATCATAGAATATCAGGCTTGGAAGGGACCTCAGGAGGTCATCTAGTCCAACCCCCTGCTCAAAGCAGGACCAAGCCCCCACTAAATCATCCCAGCCAGGGCTTTCTCAAGCCTGACCTTAAAAACCTTAAAGGAAGGAGATTCCACCACCTCCCTAGGTAACGCATTCCAATGTTTCATCACCCTCCTTGTGAAAAAGTTTTTCCTAATATCCGACCTAAATCTCCCCCACTGCAACTTGAGACCATTACTCCTTGTTCTGTCATCTGCTACCACTGAGAACAGTCTAGAGCCATCCTCTTTGGAACCCCCTTTCAGGCACTTGAAAGCAGCTATCAAATCCCCCCTCATTCTTCTCTTCTGTAGACTAAACATCCCCAGTTCCCTTAGCCTCTCCTCATAAGACATGTGTTCCAGTCCCCGAATCATTTTTGTTACCCTCCGCTGGACTCTTTCCAATTTTTCCACATCCTTCTTATAGTGTGGGGCCCAAAACTGGACACAGATGAGGTCTCACCGATGTCGAACAGAGGGGAATGATAGAATCATAGAATATCAGGGTTGGAAGGGACCTCAGGAGGTCATCTAGTCCAACCCCCTGCTCAAAAGCAGGACCAATCCCCAATTAAATCATCCCAGCCAGGGCTTTGTCAAGCCTGACCTTAAAAACTTCTAAGGAAGGAGATTCCACCACCTCCCTAGGTAACGCATTCCAGTGTTTCACCACCCTCCTAGTGAAAAAGTTTTTCCTAATATCCAGCCTAAACCTCCCCCACTGCAACTTGAGACCATTACTCCTTGTCCTGACCTCTTCCACCACTGAGAATAGTCTAGAACCATCCTCTCTGGAACCACCTCTCAGGTAGTTGAAAGCAGCTATCAAATCCCCCCTCATTCTTCTCTTCTGCAGACTAAACAATCCCAGTTCCCTCAGCCTCTCCTCATAAGTCATGTGTTCCAGACCCCTAAACATTTTTGTTGCCCTTCGCTGGACTCTTTCCAATTTATACACACCCTTCTTGTAGTGTGGGGCCCAAAACTGGACACAGTACTCCAGATGAGGCCTCACCAATGTCGAATAGAGGGGGATGATCACGTCCCTTGATCTGCTCGCTATGCCCCTACTTATACATCCCAAAATGCCATTGGCCTTCTTGGCAACAAGGGCACACTGCTGACTCATATCCAGCTTCTCGTCCACTGTCACCCCTAGGTCCTTTTCTGCAGAACTGCTGCCTAGCCATTCGGTCCCTAGTCTGTAGCTGTGCATTGGGTTCTTCCATCCTAAGTGTAGGACCCTGTACTTATCCTTATTGAACCTCATCAGATTTCTTTTGGCCCAATCCTCCAATTTGTCTAGGTCCCTCTGTATCCTATCCCTGCCCTCCAGAGTATCTACCACTCCTCCGAGTTTAGTGTCATCTGCAATCCACGCCATCCTCCAGATCATTAATGAAGATATTGAACAAAACTGACCCCAGGACCGACCCTTGGGGGACTCCACTTGATACTGGCTGCCAACTAGACATGGAACCATTGATCACTACCCTTTGAGCCTGATGATCATGAAGAACAACTATCCCACATAACTTTTTCTTATGAAATAGAAACATCAGTGTCTTGATAGAATTGTGCAGTAATTAATATGTTCCATCAAGTTATTCTTTGAAGAGAAGGGGAGCAGGCGGACTAAGAATATGGCTGATAACATTTTTACTTAGCGAAGCACGCTTAGAAATTTCAACTGTAAATTCTGTGCGTAGAACTGCAAATGTTTAAGAAATAAGGGTATAGCTCAACAGGTCTTGCTCTCCATTTATGTGCCAAAAAAAAAAAATGGTGTTTTATATCCTGTGCTAACGAGGAGCAATTTTAGGGGGGTAACGAAGTTTATTTTTTGCTATCACTAAAAGTGCATAACAATTTCTACTTGCTTACATGCATAAGAAAAATGTGTCTCCTTTAAAAAAAAAAACAAAATACCCCAGAAAACTGACAGTTTAGGATTTTGCAGAACTGCCCTTACATACTTACAGTGCTGAACACAGCTGAGACTGTCGGAGTGAAGATCCGGTCCTCAAGGGGCTGCTGCACAGGACTTCTGGGAATTCTACAGTACATCAAGTTAAGGAAAACAAAATGGAAAAAAGGATTGTGTTCTATAATGACAAGAGCATGGTACAAACAGAACGCACTTTATTTGTTAAAACATCTAAAACCACCTCTCTAGTGTAAGCAGATACACAAACATCTCCAAAGGCACTCTCATTCAACCAAGCAGATACAATCCTTCAGGTTTCCTAAAGTGAGTAAGTATATCCCTCAAGAATTGATTTCCTGGACAAATATGGGTAATATCCCTATGGGGACACCTAATCACATCAGCCACACTATCAGAGGCTCGTTCACCTGCACATCTACCAATGTGATATATGCCATCATGTGCCAGCAATGCCCCTCTGCCTTGTACATTGGCCAAACTGGACAGTCTCTATGTAAAAGAATCAATGGACACAAATCAGGCGTCAAGAATTATAACATTCAAAAACCAGTCTCTCTGGTCACTCAATTACAGACCTAAAAGTGGCAATTCTTCAACAAAAAAAACTTCAAAAACAGACTCAAACGAGAGACTGCAGAATTGGAATTAATTTGCAAACTGGACACCATTAACTTAGGCTTGAATAAAGACTGGGAGTGGATGTGTCATTACACAAAGTAAAACTATTTCCCCATGTTTATTTTCCCCCCTCCCCCCATTGTTGCTCACATGTTCTTGTCAACTGCTGGAAATGGACCATCTTGATTATCACTACTCTGACAGGGTCGGGCCAGATGGCTATATAGGAGAGTAAAAGAAGGCAGATATATTAGCCCCAGGCTAAGTAGGTCCCTTTTCCCTGGGTAAGGTAACAGGGACGGTTCCAGAACAACCAGGAACTTTCTGGAGACAATTAAGACAGGCTGATTAGAACACCTGCAGCCAATCAAGAAGCTGCTAGAATCAATTAAGGCAGGCTAATCAGGGCACCTGGGTTTTAAATAGGAGCTCACTTCAGTTTGTGGTGTGCGTGTGAGGAGCTGGGAGCAAGAGGCGCTAGGAGCTGAGAGTGAGAAAGCATACTGTTGGAGGACTGAGAAGTACAGGCATTATCAGACACCAGGAGGAAGGTCCTACGGTGAGGATAAAGAAGGTGTTGGGAGGAGGCCAGGAGAAGTAGCCCAGGGAGTTGTAGCTCTCGCACATCTGTTCCAGGAGGCACTCTAGACAGCTGCATTCCACAGAGCCCTGGGCTGGAACCCAGAGTAGAGGGCGGGCCCGGGTTCCCCCCAAACCTCCCAATTCCTGGTCAGACACAGGAGGAGTTGACCTGGACTCATGAAAACATGATTCATGAAAACAGCCAAACTAAGGGCTGCCGTGAAGCTCCAAGGCAAGCAAATCCAACAATAAGCGCAAGACCCACCAAGGTAGAGGAGGAACTTTGTCACACTACAAAAGGTTTTTTTTCTCTCCTGCTGGTAATAACTCACCTTACCTGATCACTCTCGTTACAGTGTATTTAGAACCCATTGTTTCATGTTCTCTGTGTATATAAAATCTCCCCACTGTATTTTCCACTGCATGCATCCGATGAAGTGAGCTGTCGCTCACGAAAGCTTATGCTCAAATAAATTTGGTAGTCTCTAAGGTGCCACAAGTACTCCTTTTCTTTTTACACCTACCTCTGCTCTTTAAAGAATACGAAAATAAACTCTACATTCAGTGAGACAAACTCTGCTAATCAGCACTGAATGCTCTGACATAAGCCTGGCCTGTTTTGGTAATCATGTGGAAATTATAATTGTTTCCTTGTTTGTTTTGGTTTTTTAAAACCATTAAATCCTTCTCCCCATCCACCACCCACCACAATCACTTCTAAAGGGGGCTGCCAGTATAATCCAATTTTTAATATGTTGGCACTGTGATTTAAAAGAAAGCTGCAATCATCTTGCTCTTCTCAGCAATTCTACATTGGAAAGATACTACAGTAAACCACGAAAACAGACCTTCTAAAGATAATTAACCTGATATTTATTTGGAAATGACATTTGTACAGGGATACAAAAAGATATTTAAAAAACAACATTTCTTTACTTTTAGCAACTCTTTAAGGTTCTAATCTTGAAAATGTAACACACTTAATTCTACGCACAAGAATAGTCTCATTGCCTTCAAGGGTTTGAAGGATCAGGGCCTTAATCAGTAATACCAGACATTTTTAAAATCATATTTACATTTCAGAATGATCAGTTCTATATTGTTTCCCGTTAGATTCACATTCTGTTTCTTATTCCAGAGGTTCTTATGCCAGAATGTGTTGGGGGGGCGGGGGAGGAGCGGGTTGCGGCGCTGTGGGCAGGCAGGGGGAGAAATGTACTTTGCACATTTTACCCACAGCAATGAATAAATACAAAAGCTGATTCCTCCAGACATATCAGGTCCTCAGATGGCGCTGTGCATTTTGATGGATTTCTGTTAAACTTGCATAGCATTAGACAAAGTCGTTGCCATCTGTACGTTAATCCGTTTGCTAAGACGGGGTGTGCACATTTAATTGTAAGCATCAACCACAATCAGTTTTGCTTTTGCTCTTACAATAGATCATTGGCTCTGTTTGAATCAATGCCTTACTGTTTGTAATATTTAGTGAGAGTTGCAGTCTTTTTTTTTTAATCTGTATATGTAGTTGTGTGGTGGGGGGAGAAGGAGGGACGGCGTAACCTACTACCGACACAAAGAAGGGGGCGCGATCAAATAAGTTTGAGAACTACTGTCTTAATAGTGTTCAGGATGCTACAGGAGATTGCCCAAATTCGAACTAAAATATATTTTCACTGTTTGTTTTTTTTAAATACCATGAAAACAAACACTTAGGATTTGTTCAAAGAAAAATAAATGCACAAAAGCTAAATTTTGAGCCTAAACTATCTAATCATGGGTCTAATCCTGCAAGATGCCAATCTTCAACATCCATTAACTCTAAAGACTTGACGGTCCACAGCATCCTGCTGGATCAGGCCCTGTAACCCTTTACTTACAAAGAGTATTTCTGAGCTTTCTGTTGACAGTGGCCACTGTGATATCAGCAATACAAAAAAGCTTATTGTCAGTGCCACAAAGCATATAAACCAATTCCATGCCTTTAATACTACTTGAACAATCAGAAGACCAACTACTTGAGTGTTTAAAAACTAAATAAAATGTTTGATTTTTAAATGCTGAAGCTCTCCCGAGAACAGTTCTATCACTGTTAGAGCAGCATCGAAAACTGTTTGCAACCTTTTAAACTGTGTTTCCATGAAACTGTCATGAAGAATGTCACTTTTGCAGCAAGGAAGCTCAAAACAGAATTTGAATTTCTGCTAATTTGAATATTTAAACAAGAATTAAAAAGATAATAATATTTATTACAGAGATCACCTTTCATAATTTTAATCCTCCCAACATCCCTCCATTATTAGCAATATCACAATATTACAGCTAGGCAGAGGTAAACATGCCTATATACAGAATCAGCAACAAAGCTGAGAATAGAAAACTGGAATCCCTGACTTCCAAGACTGTGCTCAGCCCACATCTTAATATTTTTTTTTTAATAAAGATATAAAGGATTCTCTTCTAATAAGCAATGTTCCTTCTTTTCTTAACTTTCACAACTGCCAGTTTGAACATAAGGGACATAATTTTATTACCTTAACTAGGTTGAATCGGGGTAAATTTGGTATTTATCCCTTTGTTTTATATAGTAAACACTTTCCACAAAAAGCCAGACCATAAACCATAGCCACACCATAAACATCCTCTGCTTTTGCTCAATAGATAATAAAACTGTTCCGTTTTCTAAAAGATATGCTCTAGGAATTATTTTTGGGCAGTTCTCTGGCCTGTGTTATACAGGAGGTTACACTACATTATCACAGTGGTCCCTTCTGGCCTTGTAATCTATGAATCTCTATTGCCTGCCATTTCCTACAATTTTTTAAAGAAAAGTCTTTAGTTCTGCTTCTCCAAAATAGGAATAAGTTGTAAACTCTATAGGACAGAGTGTTGGAGTGAAATCCTGGTCACACTGAAGTCAATGGCAAAGCTTCCAATGACTTTAACGGAGCCAGAATTTCAGAATTTCTCCCTGAAGAATTCCACCAGGATTTCAACAATTTCCACCTCACCATCAACCTCAGCCTGGACCAGTCCACACAAGAAATCCACTTCCTGGACACTACGGTGCTAATAAGCGATGGTCACATAATCACAACCCTATACTGGAAACCTACTGACCACTATGCTTACCTACATGCCTCCAGCTTTCATCCAGACCACATCACACAATCCATTGTCTACAGCCAAGCTCTACGATACAACCACATTTGCTCCAACCCCTCAGAAAGAGACAAACACCTACAAGATCTCTATCAAGCATTCTTACAACTACAATACCTACCTGCTGAAGTGAAGAAACAGATTGACAGAGCCAGAAGAGTACCCAGAAGTCACCTACTACAGGACAGGCCCAACAAAGAAAATAACACCACTAGCCATCACCTTCAGCCCCCAACTAAAACCTCTCCAACGCATCATCAAGGATCTACAACCTATCCTGAAGGACGATCCCTCACTCTCACAGACCTTGGGAGACAGGCCAGTCCTTGCTTAAAGACAGCCCCCCCAACCTGAAGCAAATACTCACCAGCACCTACTCACCACACAACAAAAACACTAACCCAGGAACCAATCCCTGCAACAAACCACGTTGCCAACTCTGTCCGCATATCTATTCAAGGGACACCATCATAGGACCTAACCACATCAGCCACACCATCAGGGGCTCGTTCACCTGCTCATCTAACCAATGTGATATATGCCATCATGTGCCAGCAATGTCCCTCTGCCATGTACATTGGCCAAACCGGACAGTCTCTACGCAAATGAATAAATGGACACAAATCAGACATCAAGAATTGTAACTTTCAAAAACCAGTAGGAGAGCACTTCAATCTCCCTGGACACTCAATAACAGACTTAAAAGTGGCAATTCTTCAAGAAAAAAACTTCAAAAACAGAGTTCAACAAGAAACTGCAGAACTGGAATTAATTTGCAAACTTGACACCATCAAATTAGGCCTGAATAAAGACTGGGAGTGGCTGGGTCACTACAAAAAATAATTTCCCTCTGTTGATGTTCACTCCTCCTTGCCAACTGTTGGAAATGGGCCACATCCACCCTAACTGAATTGGCCTCATTAGCACTGAACCCCCACTCAGTAAGGCTACTCCCATCTTTTCATTTGCTGTGTATTTAGACCTGCCTACTGTATTTTCCACTCCATGCATCTGATGAAGTCAGTTATAGCCCACGAACGCTTATGCCCAAATAAATGTGTTAGTCTCTAAGGTGCCACAAGGACTCCTCATTGTTTTTGCTGATACAGACTAACAGGGCTACCCCTCTGAAACCCTGAAGTCTGGTCTACACCTAAAACTTAGGTTGACATAGCTACCTTGCACAGGGCTGTGAAAAATTTTGCACCCTGAGTTCTGAAATTAGGTTGAACTAACCCTTGGAGCAGATACAGCTCGGTTGACAGGATTCTTCCATCAACCTACGGCCTCTTGGAGAGGTATACTATCTAAATCAACAGATGAGCTCTTTCCATCGGTGTAGGAAGTTTCTAGATTATGACGCTAGTACAGCACAGCTGCAGCGCTGTAGCTTTGCTGTTGTAGTGACTGTAGTGTAAACATACCATCAGCTATTTTATTTATGTCTGCAAAGTACCATGTACTCCAATGATGCTGCGTAGATAATAACTTAAGATGACATTTGTCCTTTACCTAAAACTGAGTTATTTGTTATCTAAAGTTTTAAGCAAGCCATATTCAACAGGACCTATTCTCCCATTGCAGGATATGAGTAATTCCAGTTGAATTTAGTGGGAGTTCTCTGTATCCCCAGGGCTGGATAATAGTATCCAATGTGTACAGGTTGAGTTATTGAATAGCCTCCAGCACTTTGTGGTGATGACAGCAGTGAGGCTTGGTTCTCACACACTGAGAATTCTGCTTCAGCTGCGGAAAGCAATAGCATTTGGCCTTTCAGAAGAAAGGATAACTTCACGTTTCCTGCTGACATTGTGAATCAATCTTGTTGATTCAAAGGAAGCTTTCGTTTCCGTCTGTGGGTAACCATTTTTGTAAAGAAGCCAACAAGGAAATGTGAAAGACTACCTTTGCCATTCCATCCTTCTTCCACCCCTTTCCCAAAACTTGTTTAAGATACAGTACAGTAACCCAAGAGATGGAACAGTTTTATTATCTAATTGAGCAAAGCAGCTGAGGTTTATTCTGTGGCTCTGGTTTATGGTCGGTCTTTGTGTGCAAAGTGTTTAATGTATAAAACAAAGGGCAAAATACCAAATTTACCTGATTCAACCTAGTTAAGGTAATAAAATTATGCCCTTATAGTTCAAACTGGCAGTTGTGAAAGTAGAGAAAACACTGAGAAGAAACATTGCTTATTGGAAGAGAATCCATAACTATGCCAACACAGGCCCTGTAGTGTAGACATACCCTAAGTGACTTGTTCAAGAAGTCTATAACAAAAGAGGGAATTGAACTCAAGTCTCCTGTGATTCAGTTGAGAGCCCTAATCTTTAATTACTGGATGGGGGACTCTAATCTAGGAAACAGTGACTCTGAAAAAGAACTGGAGGTCGTGGTGGATAATCAGCTGACCATAAGCTCCCAGTGTGATGCTGTGGCCCCAGTGGGATGCATAAACCAAGTAGAAGTAGACAGGTTATTTTACCTCTGTTTTGGCACTAGTGCAGCCACTGTTGGAGTTCAGTTAGTCTCTAAGGTGCTACAAGTACTCCTTTTCTTTTTGCGAATACAGACTAACACGGCTGTTACTCTGAAACCTGTCCAGTTCTGGTGTCCACAATTTAAGTATGTTGATAAATTGGAGAGGGTCCAGAGAAGAGCCACAAAAATGAATAATATAGCAACAGTAATAGTATAGTGATAGACTCAAAGATCTCACTCTATTTAGCTTAACAAAGAGAAGGCTGAATGAGTGACCTGATTACAGTCTGTAAGTGTCTTCATAGAGAACAAATATTTAATGATGGGCACCTCAACCTAGCACGGAAAGGTATAATATGATCAATGGCTGGATGTTGAAGCTCAACAAATTCAGACTAAGGCATACATTTTGAATGGCGAGAGTACTTAACTACTGGAAAAATTTACCAAGGGTTGTAGTGGATTCTCCATCACAGACAATTTTGAATTCAAAATTGGATGTTTTTAGAATACAAATACAGCCATACTGGGTCAGACCAAAGGTCCATCTAGCCCAGTATCCTGTCTTCCAACAGTGGCCAGTGCCAGATGCCCTAGAGGGAATGAACAGAACAGGCAATCATCAAGAGATCCATCCCGTCGCCCATTCCCAGCTTCTGGCAAACAGAGGCTAGGGACACCATTCTTGCCCATCCTGGCTAATAGCCATTGATGGACCTATCTTCCATGAATTTATCTAGTTCTTTTTTGAACCCTTTTATAATTTTGGCCTTCACGACATTCTCTGGCAAGGAGTTCCACAGATTGACTGTGCATTGAGTGAAAAATACTTCCTTTTATTTGTTTTAAACCTGCTGCCTATTAATTTAATTTAGTAACAACTAATTTTCGTGTTCTGAGAAGCAGTAAATAACACTTCCTTATTTACTTTCTCCACATCAGTCATTTTCTAGACCTCTTTCATTTCCCCCCTTAGTCGTCTCTTTTCCAAGTTGAAAAATCCCAGTCTTATTAATCTCTCCACATACGGAAGCTGTTCCATACCCCTAAATCTTTTTTGTTGCCCTTTTCTGAACCTTTTCCAATTCCAATTTATATTTTTTGAGATGGGGTGACCACATCTGCACGCAGTATTCAAGATGTGGGCATACCATGGATTTATATAGAGGTAATATGATATTTTCTGTCTTATTATCAATCCCTTTCTTAATGATTCCCAACATTCTGTTTGCTTTTTTGACTGCTGCTGCACATTGAGTGGCTGTTTCCAGAGAACTAGCCACAATGACTCCAAGATCTCTTTCTTGAGTGATAACAGCTAATTTAGACGCCATCATTTTATATAGTTGGGATTATGTTTTCCAATGTGATTTACTTTGCATTTATCAACACTGAATTTTATCCCCAGTCACCCAGTTTTGTGAGACCCTTTTGTAGCTCTTCGCAGTGTGCCTGGGACTTAACTATCTTGAGTAGCTTTGTATCATCTTCAAATTTTGCCACCTCAATGTTTACTCCTTTTTCCAGATCATTTATAAATATGTTGAATAGGACTGGTCCCAATACAGACCTCTGGGGGGATACCACTATTTACCACTCTCCATTCTGTTTTTTGAGAAAATAAAACTTATTGCTTTACCAACCTGTTATAAGTATCAGAGGGGTAGCCATGTTAGTCTGGATCTGTAAAAAGCGGTAAAGAGTCCTGTGGCACCTTACAGAATAACAGACGTATTCACCCATGAAAGCTTATGCTCCAATACATCTGTTAGTCTAGTGCCACAGGACTCTTTGCCAACCTGTTATAGTAACTATCGTTTTACAGAGTATTCAAAACAGGTGGAAGAGCAGTTAAAAACATATCTGTACAATCATTACTTCAATCCTTTCCCACAACCCAAATCTAGACAAATAACGAAGTCAGAATTTCCCTCTCCACAGAGTCTACATTTTTGCATTAATGCACGAAAGAGACATGCCAAGATTTTGTACATTTTTTAGATTGTGTTATCTAAAACTGAAAATATATAGCAATTTATTATAGTATCACATAACGAGAATGTCTATGGTTTCTCTGTGATGCTATGCACTTTCAAGAATGGACTTGAAACCATCTACGACATTTGTTTTTAAAATGGATGCATTTTTCCCATAATGGTTCCTGTCACCCAAGCTCATTTTCAGCCCCAGCAACTGGTTTTAACATAGTCTGAATCACTGGCCTCTTTCATCACTTACTGCTTGGCATAACAAGTAACCATCTTTTCATAAAAATAAAAAAATCCATGACCACTGAAAGGGCAATACAACTTGTATCTGAAGCACTCCAGAATAAGGACTTCTATTTTCTTGCAGAAATATAACAAGTCTCCCACCAGCTATCTTTAGGGTTATGTAAACTCTATACATGATCCCACTTGCATTGTATTAAATGACTTAAAATAAAAGGTTAAAACTGTCAGCAAAATTACAGAGAAGATCAAGAAACCACATGATTCAGACTAACAAAAACAAATGCAAACAGTCAGCTTAATCCTTTTTAGCTTTTTGGTTTCAAGAATGAAAAAATTATGTAAAGATGTAAAAATGGTATACATTGTAAAGCACCATACATCACTTTTGTAGTTTTTCTGTATTTAAGATACTCAGTAAAAATACAGAATATATAAAATCCTAATTGCAGATGCTCTAGTTTAGCAGGGTTTGGAACCTGGATCACTGACACTCTGGAGACTTTCAGAAAATAATGCTAAGACAATAACTCAAACCTGCTTTATTTATATAATACTAAGGAAGAGAAACTTGAAATAGTCAGAGCTATTCAATACATAGCAGGTACTGAAACTCCATGATGATCCACCCCTCGTTGAGGCTTTTTGTTAACCACATTCATTCTTACCTGGCACTGGACTTTAATCTCCACTGAGCACCTCCATAAAAGGATTAATTTGATTAATTAATAAGAAATTTGTTTCTTAAATCCTGAGTGCAATCCATAGTCTTCCTCTTTTGGTTTGCTATTAGCATAAGGCTGCATTCACACCACCCTGCTACTTGTTCTTAAAGCCTGCGTCTATCTTGCCCTTACAAGAAAAGCTTCTGCACCACTGCAGAGCACAAAGATATTCTTAAAGCGATAGCTACAATGGAAGTCCTTAAGCAATACCATCAATACCTATCTGCTGACATACATCGATTTAAGAGTTCGATTGGCTAGTTAGTGCTTCTTCCAAACTCTGTTTAAGACATAAAGCTTTATCTCTGTTCAAAAATGGCAGTCACAAAAGATTCAGTGGCATATAAAGTGTTTTCCAAGACTGTCAATGCCAAATTTCAAGGAAGCTGGTGGAAGAATGCAAAGATTCTTTTCTCTATTACAGTTCATGTTTCCATGCTCATCAGCTCCGGTGGAACAGCAGCTAATCACTCTACCTCCCACTTTTTCTGCCTTATTTTAGCTTTATGTAGCCCCCCAAAAAAGGAAGGGAGTTAACTGTACATTCCTGCTGGAAAGCCCAAGAAGGATAAAATCAAAACAGACTACCACCTGATAAAAGCTAGAATTAAATAAAGCTTTTAAATGGGTAAACTCACCTAAAATACACTATGCTTAATACAGATACTTTATATGGAGGGTTTGGGAAATCCCATTGTTTCTTGTTCGAAGGAGAACGAAGTCTCAGCCTAAACTTCTCAACCACATCACATTTGCAATACAACTTTACCTCTCAGCTGGGCCATTACAAAATAACTGATTACTCCCCCCAAATACAATAACTTGCAACACCACAAACCCATACTATTTAGTAAGTCCTTCATGAATCAACTCGCCCTTCAAAATAAATCCCTGTTCTGATAGGCTACTTTTCAGAAGCCAAGGAAAGGAAGCCTAATATGCCAAACAACTACAATCTTCAGAAAAAAAACAAAAAAACCCATACCATACGACACGTCACATATGAGAGGCTAGGAAATAAACTGATCAAAATGAAATCATATGCTCACCATATTTTGAAATATTTATATTTATTATACAAATAAAACCCTACATTCAAAGAACATTAAGGTTGCAATGTCTAGCACTACAAAGTTAGAAAATGCCAGAATTAGGGTTGCCTGTACCTTAATTCAGTCCCCTTGTACATATGCATTTTGACAGTTTCTTTAATTACTTGATCACATGCTATTTTTCCCACAGGGTCCCGGCCTCATTCATTTTCTTTCTACTGGGTACAACAGATACCCAGTATTATACAGACTGCATTAGAAACATAGAGCTAAGCAGTGTTTATTATAACAGAGGTAAGAGACAAACACATCACAAAATCAAAATGTGACAGTCATTTAACTTTACAAAAGGATCTATTAAAGAAGAGGCTTAATTTAATTGATAAAGAACTGGGGAGAAGCTAACAATCTGAAATGTACACACTCACTTGCCAATCTATTGTCCACCCCTGCCCACAGCATAACCATAATCACCCAAGGTAGACACTAGGAGCATTAACAGAGGGGATGCAGACAGTTATAAATAATAGGCTATGGATTAATAAAAAGCCTTAATGAAGGATAATGTCACTCACAGGAAATTAGTAATATGCCTATGGTGTACACTGCATGCCTATAAAAACCCTAAAAGAAACAATCTGCATAAAATAGTAGCTTATTTTAATTATCCCAGATGCACAGTTTTCTGGCGCACTGTGCTTAGATATCAAAATAAAACTATGAATCAGAGGTCTGAGCATATCATAAATCATTTTTTAAAATTTCCATTTTCTTTTGTTCCAGCTATGTCATTAGCAAGGAAGGAGTTAGGCACAGAAACTCCAGTGAAACACAATGGGATTTGAGAGATGAATTCCTCTAGGTTCCTTTGAAAATCCCAGCCTAAGAATAAAATTTGGCTTTCAAGCATACACCCCCCTTAAAATGTTTGACAGACTATATTATTCTCCCTCCACCCCTCAGTCACTCATATTACTTTTACTCTTTCCTCATAAACATACCCCTCCGGCTTCTTGATCTGTTTTGATTAATTGTATCTCCCTTCCAGTTCAATGACATATGTTAGAGATCCCCACAACTATACCTACTATTGTACATGTAGGCTCAGCAGTGTCAAATAGAGAGGAATTGCCATGTGTGGCATGATACACTGCCTCTGCCTTGCCATACTAAAACCGCATTAGCTTTTTGCTGCCATATTGCATTAAAAGGGCATACTAAATCTGCCACACACACTCACCTCTAAATCCTTCATTTAGTCTTAATGCTTTTAAAATATCAATTCCAATAAATACCCGTTTCAGAAAATTTTGCCCTAGATATTGCCATATTGATTATCTGTCTTTATAAACGTTTGCAAAATCTCCCCATTAGTATCAAAGTATGAATTCAATATGTACTTTGTCTCCTCTGTACAATCACTAGTGATGATAAATAAGAACAGGCCTTCTACCAATCCCTGATGCATACCACTCAACACAAACTCCATGGGGGAAGAACTAGCCAGCACCCTCATAAATCAGTTTGACTGAAAGAGAATCAGAAATGTAACTCATGCACAGACAGGAACACTGTGTACACTATCATGGAGAACTTTTAATCACTTCACTTGTTTAAATACAGTAACTCCTCACTTAATGTTCTAGTTATGTTCCTGAAAAATGCTACTTTAAGCGAAACGATGTTAAGCGAATCCAATTTCCCCATAAAAATTCATGTAAATAGGGGGGATTAGATTCCAGGGAATTTTTTTTTGCCAGACAAAATTTTATATACATACATACATACATATATACATACATACATACACACACACACAGAGTATAAGTTTTAAAAAAAAATTTATACTGTACACAGCAATGATGATTGTGAAGCTTGGTTGAGGTGGTGGAGTCAGAGGGTGGGACATTTCCCAGGGGATGCCTTACTGCTAAATGATGAACTAGCACTCAGCTGAGCCTGCAAGGGTTAACACACTGTTGTTAATGTAGCCTCACAGTTTACAAGGCAGCAGGAATGGAGAGAGGGGAGACAGCATGGCAGACAGAGACACAGTGTGTGTGTGTGTGTGTGTGTGTGCGTGTGCGCGTGTGCGTGTGCGCGCGTGTGCATAGCCCCTGTAAGTAAGCTGACCCCACTCTAAGTACACTGCCTTTTTAAGGAAGTTGAGACAGCAGCTGTTGCCAGCAAGCTCCCTCCTCCTGAGCCATGTCATGTCCCACCCCCGCCTCCCTCTGTGGAGGTGGGGTAAAGGAGCGGGTGGAGGGGGACACCCTGGCATTAGCAACCCTTCCCCCCCCCCCTTGCACAGGAAGCAGGAGGCTCCCGGGAGCAGCTCCAAGACAGAGGGCAGGAGCAGCACACAGCAGTGGCAGGAGGGATAGCTGAACTGCCGGACAATTGATAGCCTGCTGAGCATGTAGCCTGCAATTGATAGCCTGCTGTAGCTCACGAAAGCTTATGCTCAAATAAATTTGTTAGACTCTAAGGTGCCACAAGTACTCCTTTCTTTTTAGAGAAGTTAGGGGAGCAGTGAGCTGATGGGGGGCTGCTGGTCCACCCTGGTTCCAAGCCCCCACCAGCTAATTCCCAAGGGCTGCTCTTTCTGTGAGCAGTGGACAAAGCAGGCGGCTGCCAAACAACATTATAAGGGAGCATTGCGCAACTTTAAACAAGCATGTTCTCTAATAGATCAGCAACATAACAATGAAACAACGTTAACCAGGACGACTTTAAGTGAGGAGTTACTGTAGTATATATTTATGTCATAATCTTATGTAGTCTACAAAACATTAGGTAATAAAACAAATAAAAAGGAAACTTGGATTTCACACTATACAGTATCAAATACAGATGGAAAAGACCATAGATTATCAAGTCTATATTCAACTGCAAATTCATTATGTAACCTCTCTACAGAGGATGTGAAAGTTTGTACAATACGTCTATACAAACTTATGAATCCCATTTTATTTTATTAACATAATTAATTGTTGTAACAGCCAGTGTGGATCAGAACTTCCATTTTGTGACAGAAAACAGACTATAGGCTGGTCTACTCAAGAAAATTACTTTGACCCAACTATGTTGCTCAGGGGTGTGAAAAATCCACACTCCTGAGCAACATAGTTAAGCCAATTTAAGTCCCTATGCAAACAGTGCTACACTGAGGGAAGAATTAGTCCATCAACCTAGCTACTGCCTCTCGGGGAGGTGGATTAACTACAGAGATGGGAGTTCTGTACTGAGTAGCTATACTGCAGCACTACAGCGGTGCGGATGTAGTGATTTAAGTGTAGACATAGCCTCAAGGCTTGGTCTACACTACAGAGTTAGGTCAAATTATGGCAGCTTAAGTCAACCTAATTATATCAGTGTCTACAGCCTCTCTCCTGCAGATGAAAGTGCCCTCCTACACCAACATCATAACTCCACCTCCATGAGAGACGCAGCACTTATGTCGGTGTAGTTAAGGCAACCTGGCATTTGTGTAGACACTGCATTACTTACATCAGCTGTTGCCTGTCACTCTTGTCAGTTTCACAGTTCCCCTCTTCAGCACCTGAAATTGACAAGAAAGGCTGGTGTTCCTCCTATGGCTGTAGGAAGGGTCTGCTGAAGCACTACTGCATCTGTGCCACTATGGCATTTCAAGTGTAGACATAGCCTAAATCTGAGAAGCTGAAACAGGGCCATCAACCATGAATGGCAGGACAATTGGGGCTAATATCTAAGCCCTGGCTTTCAATTATCCTCTGACAGCAACCCACTTGACTACTGGATCATGGAAAATCCCAGCATAAGAAGAGAAGCAGGAAAATTTACTTGTATTTAAACACGACAGACTCTGCACCAAACAAGCAGACCATCACCAGAATGAGAAGATTGGGGCCTGGTCTACAAAGTTTAGCCATCAGAGCTATACCAACCAGGCAGATGGACACACACAAAAAAACCCACACACCCTAGCCAACATAACTATGCTGACAGGATGCCCAGTGTAAATGCAACGATGCTAACAGAAGAATGCTTCTGTCAGCATAACTGATGTCATTCAGGGAGGTAATGTTGCTATGCCTTCCAAAGAACTCTAGGAGTGATAAGAACTCTGGAGCAACTCAGTGCACTCAGATGATGGTTATTTTTCCATAGATCTGTAAATCTCTTGAACTCTGTAAGTAAAATGTGTGCGCAAGAAGAAGGTCTTTTGCAAAACT